TGGCCTCTTCCCCCCCACCCCCACCCTAGACGCAACCCAAAAAGGCTCGTGGCAACCTCGATCCCTTTTATTGGCTGGCACGGGCCCCACAAAATGCATTTCTGGAACACAGATCCTCCGAAACGAGGAGTTAGAAAGAAAGAAAGAAAACCCCAAAATCCGTTTTTGTTTTTCCGATGGTTCCTTCAAGGAGCCAAGGACGGGCAACCCTCCGTCGGTGGCTGGCGTCCGCTTGGCAGCTCCCGCCTGGCAGCACCCGAGCCCTTGGCCACAGGAACGGAAGCGTTGGCAAATAAATCGGAAGCCGAGGAGGCCTCCGACTGGACACCCGGCCAGGCGTCGCTCTTTCGGGGACTCTCCGCAACTGGCCCCCTTTTCCGACGGCTCCTGGCACCTCTTGGCCCCAGCAGCCCCCCTCCCCGTTTTAGGGTGGCCAGGATGACCCGAGAGGCCCTTCTATGACCCTTCGGAGTGAACGGAAGGGAAGCTGTCTTTTGGGGAGGAAACTGGGGGTCGTCCATGATTGTCCAGGTGGGTGACGACCCGGAGGGCGCAGCAGTGGCCCGGCGTGGCTTTCTCGGCCATCTCCACCAATCCTCCTGCCGGTTGTCCTCGGCTTCTGGCAGAGAGCCACGTCCCCGCATCCCGATCCCGTTTCACCCCGGAGAACATCCAACGGGGGGGAAGGGCTCCCCCTCAAGCGTGCGCGGCTGTGATGTGCGCACTCCCTTGATGGCGGAGGGGCTTCTGGCCCAGCTTGTGTCGGTGCAGTTACCTGGGCCGGAAAGGGGGGAGCGAGCCCCCCCCAGGGGGGGCGTCCCTCTGTGGCGGTGTGTCTCCACGGACGGAGGGGGGGGATGTGCTCGTTTCCCTTGTGCAGTCCTGCTGCCTGGGAGGGTGGAAGGATGCAGGCGGAAACCGGGAGGGAGCGCAGGGCGGGCAGGCAGGGAACACGCGACTTACATGATGGTGCAGGAAGAGAGCGGGTTCCGGACGTGGCACGTGCAGGCCGCCCCGCAGTACTGGCGGAAGGTCTGGTAGCAGCTGCGGTCGGCCTCGCTGCTCCACTGCACGGGGTTGGCGGAGAGGGCCTCGGCCGGCAGTCTGTTCAGGATGCTGGTGTTCACCGCCAGGGCGGCCAGCCCGTAGTCGGTGAAGAGCACCGTCTCCCGCTTGCAGGTGGGGCAAGAGATGAACTTGTACTTCGGGCAGGACTCGTAGAGGATCTGCAAGCACTCCTCGCAGACCGAGTGCAGGCAGGAGAGGATCCGGGGGCGCTTGTTGGTGAAGTTGTACGTGTGCCCGCAGGTGGGGCACTCCAGGGGCTCGCAGGGGGTGGAGGGGCGCAGGACGTACTGGTTGACGATCACCTCGTCCGAGGGGGGCGGCTGGCGGTGGTAGCAGATCTCCGAGCTGCCTTTCCGCGGCCCCTGGTACAGCCGCTCGCGCCGGGGGACGGGCGGCGTGCGGGACAAGCCGAGGGCGCCCGGGTTGCCCTCCAGGGAAGGGAGGTCCCCGCAGGCCTGGTTGACGATGATCTCCGATTCGGAGGGCCAGGCCCGCTTGGCCACCAGGGGCGGGTCGCGGCGGGGAGCCGAGACGTAGCGCGGCTGGCTGCCCTGCAGCTCCGAGAACTTTTCCGGGTGGATGATCTTCATGGCCTCCATTTTGATGATGACCTGCTGCCCTTTCAGGCAGGACATGAGGAGCTTTTTCACATGACTGTCCGGGGCCCGGGATTCTCCGAGGGGTTCCTGCATGGGGCTAGGCGGCGGTGGTGGCCGCCGGGCGGGCTTTGAACCGCGCGCGGGCTGTGAAACGGCACCGCTGGAGAAAGCCGTGGGAGCCCGGGAGCATTCTGGAACAAAGGTAGCCCAAATGGTGGCTTTTGTGGAGGGGGGGTCGGTGCGCGGGGGGCGAGAGGGCCGTGCCGCCGGCTGGGCC